ACACAGACAGAGGTGACCTCTGCTGTCATTCGGTGACTCAGCTGTGTTGATGATGGAATGTAAGCTCTTTTTTCTTTGTGCTGACAGAGGCAGATCTATGTTCTACCTACCTGAACTGCACAACATCACACTCTCTCAATATTTTTATTTCAACCCCGCCCCTCTCCCCCCACCTGTGTGAGATATACTGTATATATACGACAGAGATATATATATGTGACAGAGATATATTGGTGGAGCAGCAAGGCAAAATAATTCTAATTTCAGGATTTAATTTGTGTTGCATCAGTGAAAATTGGGTTGATTTTTTTATTATTAATTTATTTAGTTTTCTCAATCAGCATAGTGTATATATATATATTATATATTTATATATATATATATATATAAAAGGATTAGAATTTTATAGTCTTATCTATGAATGTTTTGACTTAATCCCAAAGTCTAATCCAAGAAAACGGGGGACGCTGCAGAAAAAGTTTGAAAGCCACTGGCTGAGAGTAATGGAGTCGGGCAAATACATTAGCTTTGATTCAGACAGAAGTGTTTGGTGTGACAGGTCGTCTGTTTTGGGTTGTCGGGGGACATGGTGGACATTTTTGCTTTCTTGGTATTTTACACTTTTTAAAGTCTAAATAGACTGCATCGACTTGGACAGTGGGAGGAAACTCGGTCACACACGTCAGCAGTCAGTGAATGTCACTGACTGCTGACGTGTGCGACACGTGCTGACTCATGCTCTAAAATGATGCAAAAGTCAAAGGCAGCGATTGGTCAATTTACTCTGGTGATATTAGAAAAACTGATTACCTGGCTGGAGACTGAGCCGTTCTAATAACACAGTCTGCTGGTTTGGTCCAGATATAACCAATCATCTTCACTGTAACCCAATCTGATGTCATCGCCTGCCGTGACTCACCTTTAACAAGATCACCCATTTGACGGATCACTGTTATAACACTGACCTGGGGTGGGATTCACGGCGGTGGTGACAAACATTCATCAACACTGCTGTTTAATATCACTGACATATTGTGAAAAATAAAGCATTAAACCTTGTTGAAATAGTGAGAGGGACAGACTAGAACTTTTTTTCTTCTATCTGAACTGCTCTGTGATCCATCAAAGTCTCCAGTCACACGATAAATGTTCCCAAGGCAGGAAACAGAGTGTTGAGGAGGAGGAGAGTTTATGAGACATGTTATACATTTGGAGGAAATGTTGATAGAGGACAAAGACTGACCCTGCCTTCTGAACTGAGAGGCCTGGTGTATAAGTATTTCGGTGAAGATAAATGTTCTTTTAAAGTACGTCCAGTCCCTCTGACATCACTGAGGACAGAACGACCTGGATGACTGATACTCTAAATAGGCATCATGCTTTCATATCCAGTCCAAACAAAATAATGTCCTGGAATTTTTTTTTTTGACCCCGACCAACCAAAACCAACCAGTACCAGGTTGTCTGTTGCTTTTTCAATGACAGGATCATTTAAGGCCAACAAACCCAAAGACAAAAACATGTCATTTATTCTATTTTATATTAAGGAAAATTGCTTTAGTAAGACCAGCAAAAAAAAAAGAAAAGATTTTTTTGGTTTGTTTTTGTGGCAAACATTTTGCGTTACGGCCCAAAATTAGGTTCAAAGTTCGTTGGCCGGCCATTTTGTTTTGGCTGTAGAATGTACAGTACAAAACAGAGTACATGATTCTTATTTGAGTCAGTAAATAAAGGTGTTTTTACCCAGTACATGAGTCAGTAAATAAAGGTGTTTTTACCTGTCGGGAGTGTACGAGTTGCTGGTCTACTTTTGCACCTATCATATTCTCCAATCACCAACAGATGGTATCATCGTGCCTGCATGCTTTTGCACCTATCATATTCTCCGATCACCAACAGATGGTATCATCGTGCCTTGTGACTGGTTCGACAGGACTGATGACAAAAAAGAAATCATTCATGAGGTGCAACTGAACAAGTCAAGTTTTGTTTAGATAACAACTGGAGCCAGTCTGTGATGAGAGATGCTACCGCTAAAACCACATTTTTTACTGACAGTTTGTTGTCAGATTGTTGATAAAAAAAGAAACTTCATAGAATTGTTTTGTTTTTGTCGTCACCACCTTCTCTTCGTTTTTCAAATTTTACTGATGTGGATATTTAATAAGCACAACATACACATACATGTACTTTAGTATATCTTAATACCACAGTCACATCTGTCAGCATTATTAGACTCAATAACCTTTGTTTTCCCTTCCCTCCATCCTTTTTCTTAATTTATCTGCTCTTTAACCTTTGTTTTCCCTCCATCCTTTTTCTTAATTTATCTCCCATTTCCTTCGGTTTTATCTTTGTGTCTTCACCTATTTGTTCCTTCATTGTTTTCGCCCCCTCATCCTTTATTTACATCCTACTTTCTTCCTTTCTGCTCACATTAATGTACACAAAAGAATATCTTTTTTAGACCATTACTTCCTCTTCCGTCTTTCTCCTTTTATCAACGGTTGGACACGGACATACAGAGTGAAGGTGTACATTTTAAAAAGTTCATACATTCACACTACATCATAGTACGTCATGTGATCACAGATTTGTTCTCAGTTCCACATAAGATGATGCAACAACTGATTTCCTGTGGAACGTCTCATGAGGGAAACACACTCCATCGACGTCATTTCTTTTTTTTTTTTTTTCATTTAAAAATAACATACTTAGGAGCGTGTTATTTGCCACCTGGGGGGGATACTGCAAAATCTTCCAAAAAGTTCATCCTCCCGTTTCCCCATATGGCCTATGTTTTCTTGTTTATCAGAATTGTGATTTCATGGGAGCCACTGTGTCTTCCGACAGTTGAGGACCCCACACTCTAACCCCCCTCACCTCCCATCTCGGGAGGCTTGACTCTGGGAGCCTAAAGCCAGGGACATGACGTCTGTCTCTCATCCTTTCAAAGATAAATCTATACAGAACAAGAAGAATGAGTGCTTTAAAAATTAACCAAATTTAAGTGTGTTTTTCCTAGAAACACTTTGATAAGAGCAATCGTTAGACTGAAGGGATGGTGAAAGCAAAGTATGTTTTCACAGGTCACACACCTTGGGTTTATGAGAAATAAAACTGTTGCGTCAAACACAGCAGAGAAGTTAACTTCTTGTGCACACAACACACTGCCAATTCTGGGAAAAGGTTTTGTGAACTGTCTGATTGGCTCCTTCCCTGAGCTTTAGGGCAGTCCCAGTCAGGTGTATAAATGTTTACTGGAGAATATAGAGTCAGTAGATGGCAGTATTGAAACTAGTAGAAGCACACCCTCCATTAAAGCCCATAGATGAAGAAGGTAGGTGAGAATGTGTGTGTCAAGATTATAAAGCTGAACTTGGGTTTAAGTTGGTGGAGTTTGGCTTGGAATGTACTGTATTTCCACAAGATTCTGAAGGTGACCTGAGATTTTATGGGGAGCCAGTGGGGTTGTTGTGAGATCGGGGTGATGTGGTGGAAAGATGTGGTTCTGGTGGTGATACAGTCAGCTGAGTTCTGCACAATGTTCGCTCGCAATCATTACTAAACCTCTTGTAATTAATTCAGTAATATGGAGGCTTTACATCTGGCCTTTCCCTGAGAAGCAGCTCCGCTCTCTACACTCTGTACAGTGATGCTGTCCAGGGTTTTTATTGCCACACATCTAGTAAAAAAAAAAAGATCTACTGCCAGCGTTCACCATCAGAACAGCAGCACTGGTTAATTATTCACTCCAAAGGTTTTAGACTTCTTAGAAGTAGTTTTTATAGAAGACGTGTGTGACATCACGTGGTTTTATGTATTATAAATGCAATATTTCTTTAACTCCTGAAACAAGTCTCACTTCCATAAAGCGTTGTGTGAAGTCAAATGTTTGGTCACAGCTGTGTATCCCCCAGTATAATCTTATCTAATCTGATCTCTCTTATCTTTATTGCAATATCAATTATAAAAAAACATGGGAAAGTGTTTTTGTAACCCGCATATGTGGATGTTTACCATACATGTACGTGCAGTTCATTCATCCTCTACGGCGTTGAAAATGTAAATGACGATTTTTCTAACAAAAATGTTCATTTATGATGTATAATATATGATGTATTTTCTAACAAAAATGTTCATAAATGACATTCATTTATGATGTATAATATATGATGTTCATATATTATATATTTCCCACTGGAGAACAGCAGTTCCTACGACCTGACCTTCATGGCAGCGTAGACTTCACACATGAAGAACCCTCAGGTGACGAGAGTGCACACTGAGCTCTAGCCACTTTGGGTTCTTTGAATTTTGAAGTCACGCGGTCTGTTCCTCATCCGGCTGAGACCACTCATCTGTTTAAAAATAGCAGCAGCCCAAACTGTGAGCATCACCAATTATCTGCTCAGATTTCATTTGCTCGATCTGTGTGAATGGGAAGGCATTCAGTTATAAACACATTAGGTAATGGAGGCTGACACTGACACTGTCTCAGCTGCAGGTGAAGCAGACAACAACACGTGTAGTCAAGGCGTCAGTGAGTGCATGACTGTGCAGTGTCTACGATCATATATTCAAATTCACACACACACACACACAGAGAGAACAAGTAACATTTGTTGGTGAGGAGGTCGTCTTTCATTTGACCTTTGTTTACCTCTGCTGCTGTATATTCTTGGTATTGTGTTCAACTCTCTTTGTCAAAGGTTTACATACCTGTGTAAACATCTGTTTCTGTTACTGTTAATGGTATACAGTACCTGGTGTTTCATCATTCGGAGTTTGTTAGCTGTAAAGGCTGCTCGGAGGAATAGTGGCTACATCAGTTGCCTCACAGCAACAAGGTCAACAGTTGTATTTCCAGCATGATCGAATCACGTTTGTGTGTCATTGTGTCTACTTTCAGTCTGCAAGCTTCCACCGTACATACGATTACATTTAACTGTTGAAAAACCTCTTCATTTCCTCTAAATATAATTACATTTAACTGTTGAAAAAAACCTCTTCATTTCCTCTAAATATAGCTAAGCTTAATAACTGTTTTTTTTTCTCCACACATTTTCTTTTTGTTTTTCTCTATAGGCCGTGGTAGGTCATTCTCCATTTCTGATTGGGTACAGCGAGTACGATAGTCTGGGTGCAACCTAGACAGATCATCAGTTCAGTTGAGTCAAAACAACCATTCACAAAAGCGTTCAAAATGTGCTCTCTGGGTTTCATACAAAACACTAATCAGTGACACACAACGAGTCACACAGAATAAATGGCATCTTTCAGTCTAAAATTACTGTTTAACTGTAGCACAGCTCCCTCTAAAGTTTGGTTTTGGCTAAAGGACCGTACATGTTATTACTAGGCAAAAGAGGAACAAAAAATAAATTCAATGTTGATATTGTTGAATGTCTCCTGCGCAACAGGAAATTTGATTTTTTGTAATTTTCTAATGAGTCCACTGTTGAGTTTTTCTGAATTTAATTCTATATGAACTAATACTGAATGGCTTTAATCTTACCAGGAGATCGTGATAACTAATAATTATTGGCTTTAATCTTACCAGGAGATCGTGATATTTCTCCCTTCTACATTAATAAACATTTATTCAGCACACTGTGTGGATACAGACGTTCAGCAAAGCATTTTTTCCATGATACAAAATCAAGTTATATATGTTTTATTTATGCAGCTGCTTTGGTCACGTGATGATCGTTGTTATTGCAGACTTTCTGTCATTTATACAACAATCAGACGGTTCAAATGGCCTCTTTCAGAATCCTGAAACAGACACAAAACGTCCAGGAACTTGAACGCATCACAGCAGCTCGGGCCCTGAACTGTGAGCCACTTAGCTGTACATGTATATTTCCAGACGTTCTCACGGTCTTCCTGATTTATCAAGTCCGTGTTGGAGCCAAACTCAAGAAACGTTAGTGAGAGCTGTGAAGTCCCTCCAGTCAACATCGACCTTAAATGCCAACTTATATTGTCCACTGGATTTAGGTTTGTTTATTTGGGTTGATTATTTTGCATTTAGTATGTGCAGCAGAACCAAATATTCCCATTAGAGATCAGGCAGTAAACATTAGTGTATGAAGAAAATGTTTCCACTGTTATTGGAGTCCAAAGACAAACTGGGCCGTTGGTCTTATGGCTCCAGAGGGGTTAGATACTCAGATGTCATTAAGACTACAAATAACATCAATCTGATTGCTGATTACCAAAATAGTGTAGACTTCTTTTTTTATTTTATATATATATATATATATAAATATATAACTGTTGACTCACACAGCGGAAACTGTTCTTTGAAGGTTTGCCTTCACAGCAAGAGAAGCATTGATTTGCTGGTTCGCATGTAATTGATCTGTGTGACGTTTGCATGTTCTCCCTGTGTGTGTGTGTGTGTGTGTGTATGTGTGTGTGTGTGTGTGTGTGAGGGGGGGGGTGGTTCTTCAGGTACTCCAGTTTTGACATTACTTGTCATTGCTGTTTAAAGGTAAATAATTTGAAATATCTTCCAAATCCAACCGTGGATCACAATTCTCAACCCAACAGTACCAACAGAAGAGGAAGTACTTTTTCTCTCTGCGTATGTGTATGTGTATTCAGTGTGTGTGTATTTGTATTCAGTGTGTATGTGTGTGTGTGTGTGTGTGTGTAGTATGACCTCTGTGACCTGATCTTCTCTGGCAGCCGATCACACACTGCAGTGCTGGGACATATGGCAGAGAACAGATTGAAATAGGCTTCAATTGTAAACATCCACTGACACACTGCCCCCCCCCCACCTCCTCGCACTCTCACACACTGTCTCCCCAGCTGTGACCTCTTGCCCTCTTGCCCTAGAATGACCCTGTTTAGCTGACCTTCCAGAAGAAAATGAAGATTACTGTTATCTTTGAAAACCAATGCTGTTACTTTCAGTCCAGAATTTCTCTAGATTTATTCATTACTTTCCAACAGGTTAATCCTCCACATACACATACATTCGGCCGCAACTAGATGTCAGTATAATGTCATCTGAACCCCCAACGAAAATATTTCTAAAAAAAAAAAGTAATGATAAAGCCAGACATTTGTAGGTTTATACTAGAGGAGATTATGCGATGGTGTTTTCTGTTCAAAGATGTGTGAATTGTGGTTTGGATTTGTTCAGTCCCTAAACACAAGTGCGGTTCCTAGATTATCAGTATAAAAAAACCACTACAAGTAAAGGATATAGTTCAGCTGAGAAAGTGAAGATGGCGTGCATCGTCAGATGACATATAGCGCTCGCTGCCCTTGGATGTAAACTTTAGTCTGTCTGACCTGAGCCATTGTATAGACTCTGGTCTTTATCTGAGAACATCACTATCTTTAGCTGCTGTGATCCTTCGTATCTAACTGCATTCTATAAGAATCCTGGAACAATAAGGTCTGTGCTGTAGTATTTTAAGATCACCGTTTCTTGCGTCTTTAGACTTTCTTCGCCAAGGGCAGAGGCAATTTATTTTGAGGTGGTCTGTGGGGACATTTGTCCACCCTTTCCTGTTTTGTGAACATGATATCTTAAGAAAGTTCCTTGGCGCAAAAGTTCAGTTGGTCTTACTGTCGGTCTAGATGTTGTTGGTCAAGGGACGGGATGGTTAAAGGAGAATTTGTGTTTTCTGAAGGTAAGATTTTCCATGATGAAAAGGCTGAACTTTTCTTTTCCAATCATGCATGACAAAACAGATTATGTTTTTTATGACAACAAATGAAACCACTCAGAAAATTCTGCGAAAAAGGTGATGGAAAATTATTGAATGTCAGGTGAATACTGCGAAATAGCACAGTGAATAATGTTTATATAAATAATGAATAATAACAATAAAAATATGTGTTATAAATGTAATTTATTCTGAGATAATGCATCTCTGACATCTACAGAACAAGTGATGGTGGAGAGTGATTTTGTGATGAAAGGTCACCGTTTAGGTCCTGAAACAAAGACTAAGGTCACTGTTGACCTTAAGTTACCCTTTCATGCATGTTTGACTGTGTGTGTGTGTGTGTGTGCGTACGTGTCAGGAGTGAGTGGAGTCCAACAAGAATCGTTGTTCCACACTGGTGACTCCCATTATGATCCCTCAGTATGTTTCCTGTTCCGATCTTCACGGAGACAGTCACTTCCTTACACTTGTAACCAGGATGTACGCACTGTTTCCTCACGGCTGATTGTTTTGCTAATTCAATTCAAAGCTGTGATTTTTTAGCGTTTTTAACAATACCAAAACAATGCAGAGGAGCAAATGTCAGGCCTGTTTGTCTGTTTTATCTGGACACTGCCAGCCCTAAAAATATTGATGGTTCCCGTGTCTGTAGTTCACCAGTAGAGGTCGTCTTACTGTATCCACAGCGTGACCTCTGCACAGTAGCTTTCTTTGACTCTTTAAATCTTACTGACAGTTAATCCACCTCTGCCCCGTGCTTTAGCAGATCCTCAACCGAAAGTGCTGACATTGTTTTTGCTGTTTGTTTTGAACTGATTGTCTGTCAGTTAAAGCCACTCTCTACCTACCATGTCATGTCATGTTTACTTTTACTGTTTGTCCTCTATTTACACATTTGTAATGACTTATCGTGGGCGTGGTGTGTCAATGTGTCCCTTATTTATTCTAACAGATTATACAGTGTGTGTATGACACTGATTCATGAGCGGCCCAGAGTGTCACTTCTACATCACATCATCATCCAGCACTGATTTTAGTGAAAACACAGAGGCATTGACAGAGTGTTATACAAGTGAATACATGTAGGTATGGTTTCTCCTACTGTATGCTGATGACGCCACTGTCTAAGTGTATTTGATGCCCTGCATCTTATCTTGCATTCATACCCGTGATATAGTTTGAACAGCAAAATGTTATACAATTTTCATCTTTCCATCTTTTAATATCGCAGTCTTTAAGTAACAACACAAATGATTAGAAATTTAAAGTTTGTATTACTGTAAAACAAACAATTACATTTTGACACCTTTCCTTTAAGTTGCTGTCATGTTGATGAACACCATGTAATCTCTTCTTATGTGTCATGGCTGCTGACTAGAAGCCATAGATTATCAAAAGAGATTTGACTGAGCATATGTCCAGGTTGCCTCTTCCTTAATGTTTTTGTACGGTGGTTAATCATCATCTGTGCAGCAGATCTGATTTCCTACTGAAAGATTATTGTTTTTACGTCTTAATAAATATAATCTTTCTCTGTCTTTCTTGCAGATTTTAGGAGCTGTGATGTTCCAGGAAGACACTGAAACTGCAGACTGCTGAGGCTCCGTTCAGTCATTTTTGTATTTAACTGCAAGCTTCTCTGAGAGCCTTGAGTGTGGCAGGACCTTGAGAGACACACACTGCTGCTTCCGCTCACATTATCCCTGGCAGACCACTAATCTCCAAAAGATTGATGAGGTCCAGTCCTGGCCCAGGAGGCCTGGCACAGTGCTGATAAGGCAACTTTTATTACAACACATTTTATCCCTCACACCTTCAATTCTTTTTACTGCCTGCTTTCATACTGAGGAGGAGCAGAGCCGGAGTCACCGCACAAGGGAGAATCATGTCGCACCATGCCCTCCAGCAAGAAGGGCAGTGTTGAAAACCGGAAACCATGAAATATACAGCCAGTCTCCACTCCAACCCAGGCAGCTGTGTGGTCGCCCAGCAGGACACCAGTGTCGGCATGTCAGTTCTAACCTGTCGTATCTGGAATATAGTGAAAGAGCTACAGGAAGACGTGCAGAGCTGAGAGCAAACTGTGCAGCCGTCACAAACCTGAGTCTTTACGAACACAAAGTCATACGCTGCTCAGTGTCCCGAGTGGGAACATGTGCAACATCTCTTTCTGTGATGTGGACAGTAAGGTGGACCAGTTCTTCCAGCCCACACTCTACATCATAGTCATAGTTCTGGGACTGCCCACCAACTGCATGGCCCTGTGGGCCGCCTACATGCAGGTGAGAAAAACTCACACACATTGTTTAATTATTTTTATTTACTTTTTTTGTAATGATTCTGTTTTGGTGAGAGGGCAGTAAAGTGCTGAATGTAATAAAAAAACACATATATAGCAGTTGTTTTTTAGAGAGAGAGAGAGCTGTTGAAAATGTGTCTTTCTTCAATTCCTGCGAGTGTATCAACACTGTTCCACTAAACAACCCCAGGTTTCAAACTAAGTCAATTTCAAACTAAGTAAATAAGTAAATTGAAACTAGAAAATGATTATATTTTATAACACTGTTTTCGCCCTAGGTTCGCCAACACAATGAACTCGGTATCTACCTGATCAACTTGTCAGTGGCTGACCTCCTCTACATCACCACTCTGCCTCTGTGGATCGATTACTTCCTGCAGCACGATGACTGGATTCATGGACAGGAGAGCTGCAAGCTGTTTGGCTTCATCTTCTACACGAACATCTACGTCAGCATCGCCTTCCTGTGTTGTATTTCACTTGACAGGTATCTGGCCGTGGCGTATCCTATGCGCTTCGCTAAGATTCGACGAATCAAGACAGGTACGTTCAAAAACAGTGTCAAAGGAAAATCTGTCTTAAAAAATATATAAGTGTTTATTATGTTTATTATGTTTATTTATTCTATGTTTATTGTCTATTGGGAACATTTTCTGTCCAATAGGAAACATTCAAACACAGAGATGCCTTTATGCTTGTCTATCAAATAAAATCATCATATTCAAATGTAAAAGTATTTTGTTGTCGCCCTCTATACCCCAGGCCCCTGACTAACATGTTGATGTTTGATACAGTACAACGTATATATTGTACACACAGCCAGCGGTGTGTTTACAGTGAGAGTTGAGCCTGTATTGTTCAGTTGAAGTTGACATGAACTCTAACTTTTTTTTGTCATATCTTCCCCTGATCTCCCATCATGCAGCTCTGCTGGTCAGTGGAGTGGTGTGGATCATTGAGGTCATCGCTAATTCTGCTCCTCTGTTCCATGACGAGCTGTTCCAGGACCGCTTCAACCACACATTCTGCTTTGAGAAGTATCCAATGCAGGACTGGGTGGCAGGGATGAACCTTTACCGGACATTCCTGGGCTTCCTCGCTCCCTGGACTGCCATGTTGGTTGCCTACCGTGGAATCCTCTCGTCGATACGCTGTAACGTCTCCACTGAACAACAGGAAAAAGCCAAAATTCAACGCTTGGCTTTGAGTTTAATCCTGATTGTTTTGTTCTGCTTCGGACCGTACCACGTCCTTCTCCTGGTGCGGAGTGTGATGTTCCTGAGGAAGCCGTGTGACTGTGGCTCCGAGGAGAGCTTGTTTGCAGCCTACCACGTGTCGTTGGCTCTCACCAGTCTCAACTGCGTGGCCGACCCCATTCTGTACTGCTTTGTCAACGAGGGCGCGAGGAACGATGTGGGCCGCGCTCTCTCTGCGTTACTGTCCGTGGCCTGCCACAAGGGCTCCTCCTCTTCGCCGCTGCACGCTGACATACTGAATGGCGGCTCGGTTACAATGGAAACACCGCTGTCAACTAAGAAGCAGCCTTGCGTGTACGTTGATGGAAGCAAGACAACCACCTACAAGACGGAGCTGGTGGCTCTGAAGGAGGAGTGTCTCCAGATGACCATCCTCAGTGTTAGGAAGTGACGCACACACACAAACACAGGTCCTACATCTAATCTCATTGGCCGTGGCTAATGTGCCATGGTCGTAGAGGTGTGGTGTAAAAGCCCTGCCCAATGGCACAGTGACAGGCCAGAAATGTGAAGTGACTGATGGAAGGAGTCTTCACTGATTATAAGGTTTGGTCTAAATGTCAGGGGCGTTACATCAGTGTGGTCAATAACTGATTTGGTTTCATCTGAAAATGATTGACTTGAAGTTGTGCCATATTTCTGCATCGTAACTCTACATGCTAATAATGTCACATGAACAAGATTTCTTTGTTTTTTCACCCAGAGCAGCCAAACGATTGGACCACTTGTTTTTTTCTTTTTGGTTGGCGATGGTCCAGGAAAAGTGACACCAGATTCCCAGACAGACTGGTCTCAGTGGACAATAAAAGCCTGGACCGCATTCTGAAACCAATCCCCTAAGAAGATCTTGACGTCGATCAGTGTCAGAGCCGCACACCATCAGACTATGTTTTATTAAACACACTGAAAGCTGGGATATTTGGGGTATTTATTGCTGTGCCAGGAACTTCTCTGGCCGAGGGGGAAACTGTTGGATATTTAAGTATAGTTATTTAAGCAGATTTCTTTTTTTTTTGCGTTTTTTTATGGGTATTTTGAGAAGCCATCTTTAGATTTATACGCGTTGGAGAACCGACTGCGCAAAGTGTAAATGTTAAAATCTTGAGTTGGACACCCAATAGTGCCACCTAGGGCAGAAATAAAAAAACGTAGATGTTTAATTTAAAGCTGGTACAGAGCATCTGTATTGTTGTTGAAAGCATTGTAACCACTCAAAAATGTTTTAATGGGAGGAGTGAAGTCATCAAGTACCTCAAATGATAAATGTGACAAAAAAGGAAGTTGACAATAAAATACTGTTTCTTTAAATGTGAGCCTTTTTATTTCCTTCCGGAAACCCAGCTGTTGTGATTTAACATTAGTTTATTTTACAACAACCGGGGAATAAAATTAACATTAATCCCAGCTGTGTGAAAGTTATTGTTCTTAATGTGAAAATAGTGAACACACGTGACTTTCTTGATATCAGTCACAAAAACGGGGGGTGAGGGGTGATTGATTCAAAAATCAAAAAAAAAAAAATGATGCAGTAAATCTGTGTGTCGCACAGTGGCACGACGGTGTGTGTGTGTGTCATGTCATTACACTGACTTCCAAGACAGATGCAGTAAATCTAAAAGTGTCACACAGTGGCACGACGGTGTGTGTGTGTGTGTTTGTGTGTGTGTTTTTGAATCAGTTTAAATTGATTTTTACAAAACATGTCTTAAAGCCGACTGTTTGGCCGAAGGCGACACTGACTCAGAGTGCTGTTGTCGTATCTGGTGATGCAGAGTGTGTGCCACACAGGTGTGACGTTGTCACGGCTGGGAGGTTAGGAGCTGGTGTTTTTAGATCTCCTTAAATTTCCCTCTGTTTTTCAGGTAATTTAGCTCCTTTTCCAGATCCGTGAACATCAGCTTCCAGTTCACTTCCTCCCATGAAGCTGCTTAGTCATGCCCCCAGTCAAACACCTGTCCTCTGTTATTCAGCTGATTTGCTGTGTGTGTACATGTATAATCCACTCACTGTTGGTTTGGTGTTCTTTATTCTGTTATTCCCACAGCAGCTCTGCTCTACCTGCCATTTATGTGCTGTCACCTGAAAAAAAAATCTCAGCTTTTTGTCCCAACCATATTTAGACGTGGTTTAAATATTTATTTTCTAGCTCCCTGCCCCCCCGGTGGTGCCTGCCCCTCTGTTTGAGAACCATTGCACTAGACCAGGTTTTAAGTAAACCACCAATACAGGATTGGTCCGTCCCTGCAAACCTTGATGTACAGTCATGTCATGTACAACTGTACACAGTACACGTTGTCTGTGTTGTACTTTTCTGTGTGTGCAGTATACTGCAGGTCTGTTTGTGTACTCTGCGTGTCTGAGAATGTGGATTTGGTGCTGCGGTTCAATTACCAGCCCGTACATCTGAAGAAGGCCTATATTTACCACCTGCTGTCTTGGAGGTGGACGCTCTCACACTGTGTTATACAAGACAGGAAGTGCGGTTTGTAAGACGGCAGTGGAGACAAAAGAAAGAAAACGTGTAACTGTGTAAGCTGAGCGAGACACCTACGTTGTTTTTAGAGGACAGAGAGGACAGGACTCAGATGTCCACAAGCTCTCTGTCTGTCCCTCTCTCTCTCTCTGTCACACATACACTCTCTCTCTCTCTCTCTCTCTCTCTCTCTCTCTCTCTCTCTCTCCCTCCCTCCCTCCAACCAAGGGAACATTGTTTCTCGTCCTCTATGCTTCACTGGTCACCTTAGCTGTAGTTCTAAATATAGCTGCTCACCGGAGGCCACCGTGTCATTAACAGCAGCTCACCTGATTATGAGACAGATTTACTTCAAGGTAAAGGCTTTTGAGAAACCACCAGTTATGGTTGTTCTGTGATTTTCATTTCAAAAAACAGAAAGATCACGGTGACTTTTCATTTAAAACCTGCACTCAATCACGCGTCTAATAAAAATTTCTCTCTCCAACTCACGTCCGTAAAAATTTAATGTCCCTAATTAATGGATATCTGCACCTTTTGCTATGTAGATAAAAGTCAGGGACTGCATAAAAAAAGAGGCTGTGATTCTGCATCAAGTGAATTTGTTTTCATGCCTCAGTGGAAACACAGAGAAAAAAAAAAGAATTAAGAATCAAGTCATATATTTATAAAATGCACTTCAAACTACATTTACAGCAGCAGCACCTACTTCTGTAGTCCATTAGTTTATTAAAAGAAAAAAAATCTTCTTTTTCACCATGAGGTTCTGGAATGATTGTTAAGGAAAAAAAATCTCTCTATATCTTTTCTATTTATTATGAACAATGACAAATAATTCACTTTTCACTGTCAGGTGTCATCAGGTTTTCAATGTTTGTTTTATAGCAGTAGACACAACCCATTAGTTAGAGCACGTGTTCTATGTATGGGTGAGCAGAATGTCAACACATATTTATTAAAATACAATGACTCCAGAACATGCAGTTTTAATTTCAAAAACATTTTTAATAACATTCAAAATGATATTTTCAGAGTGAAAAACACATATAGTAAAATGGCAGAATATAAAATAGTCTTTAGTTGCACGACAAAATCTCCTCTGGATAAGATGTGAAAATTAGAACAATACAACAACAAACGTGAGCTCATTGTTCCAGAATCTTCTTCTAAGAACTGACTTAATATAAGACGGATTTCATTAATTTTATTGTTTATCGGAATTCTGCTGACCAAGGGAACGGAGGCCAAAAATTCACTTAACGTGTTTTTATGCGACTCAGAAGGAAAGTCATTGTTCTTTGAATGTTTGCTAAGAGAATTCTCGTGACATTGTTGTGTCGTTATCTCATGACGAGACCCGCGAAAACCTTCCAGATGTCACGTGGTTCTGCCAGTGCACCACTGTTGTTCTGTTATAGCTGAACACGAGAGGAACTGTAGTCCATGTCTATTTATTCTATATTTCACCTGTTCAAACCGCAGTGATGATCTTAGATTAGATTTTAAAGAGCTCGCAAAATCCTGTTTCTTTAATAAACAGCTCGTTTCTGGGCAGTAAACAAGGAGGAAGTCCACAGTAAACAACATTGCCTCATGAAAACGCGTAGCTAATTGTGACGTCACAGAGTTAATGTAGTTTGGTTAATTCAAACTATTAACAGGGAGTTTTACAGCCCAATGATTTACTCACATTTTCCTTGTGTTTAATATTTAAAGATTGGTGGCCAGATTAAATAAAACTAAGTATTGATAGAAAAATAACTAAAATAAATGAATATGTTCAGAACAGATTAAGATAGAGAAATAGCATAAATGAATATGTTCAGAACAGATTAATAAATGAAAGTCAATTTAAATCCTTATATTTCTAAAAATACACCTTAAATAACGATCTACATATGATCTCATGTACCTGGGACAAATGTGTGTGATGAAATGTTATCTTTATCTTTCTGATTACATCTGCACCAAACTGAACAAACAAACTGGTGTAGTAGAGAAAACAACATCTACGTGACGATTCATGTCTTCAAAAGATGGATTACTGTCATTGAAATATTCTGCTACTGCGACTGTAAATGAAGCTCATATTGTACAAAATTAAATTTAAATGTATGCTATTAATGAAGGTCCATGGTATCTATTATTCAAAAGTCATTAACTTTAAGGACAGCAGAATGAACACAACTTTAACACAGAAGATAAAAATATTGTAAATAATGTATGCACTACACAGAGTAAACAGAGAATACTGTAGTTAATAATACCATCAAGTCATGACAGGTGACAGATGAACAGATACCTCTAGGACCGTAAAGATCCAGCTTCTTTATGCATGTTAGAAGTTTGCAGTCTTGTAGTTGACCACAGCACCATCCAGTGTTGAAATCACAACATGGCAGGTGTGTACCTGTAAAGTGCAATGAAAGTGACTCTCGTGACTTAATGACGATGCTCGTCACCATCCCGATGACTTTTATTTTCAAATTTATTTGCTGATTAAATGTGTCAAACTCCCACGTGTTTTTTTCTTCCTTTTAGATTCCTCACATATGTGGCTGCAGAGAGATTTATAGTCGGACTGTCAGACGAGATCCGGTCCAAGAATCAAGTCTAGTAGTTGGTCCTGATGGGACAGAGCCAGGGTCAGCAGTGAGTCAGGAAAGAGACACGTCAAAAAAAAATAAAAAAAATAAAACAAACTCAGAGGCGCTCTGGAGCAGATCTGTGTCCATCTGTGCACATGTAAGTGCTGCACTAAAACAATGGCTGCGGTGGCAGCCTGCCATGCATGTGCTTCCTGTCGTCATCAGCCACTCTCAGGAGGAGGAGATGGAGAAGAATTTTAAGAAAGAATTTAATTTTATCCCATGCGTCTCAGTAGTTATTCACCTTCCTGTTATTCTGTTCAGGACAGCCTTAAATCGAACGCGTCCTGTCTTCTCTACTTACTGCCTCGTGTGGTGCTTTCAAATAAATAAAGGACATTGGAATAAAAGGAAATTAACACAGTACAAGAATCATAATAATCCCATTTATCCAGTTCCTGTGTGGCCAGAGTGAAAACAACCGAACTGTTGATCTCTGGGTCTCAGCTGTCTGTTTGACAGACTATTAAGAGTCACGTGAACGCAATAACTTCTTGCTTTTTTATTTATTTTACAATAGTGAATCTATACAGGACCCATGTTCATGCATTAATACAAATATGCTCAGGCTTTGATTCCTGAATCAAACCACTGCGGTTCATCGCTGCGGTTTTTGCACAGGAAGCAGCAGAGCCGCCTTCGTTACCGACTGTGTTTTACTGCTGTACATTTTCAGTGTCAGTTTAATAATTTCTGCCACTGATACTGTATATCAGAGAACGCACAGTACTACACGTCACGAATGGCTTCGTTTGTGGAGAAGAAATGTTAGCTTTTATTTTAAAAATACAGCAATTCTGCAAATAAACACCAGGAAGACAGATATATAAATATGACTCATATTATATGATTTTTTTTCTGCCCGGTGCTCTTCCACATGTCTCCAGAAGGTGGCAGAAGAGACCAAACATTGGTCGTAAACACCGTTGCAGATCATTTATCTGCAGTCTGACTGTAGTTGGTCCAGCGATTAACTCTGCAGCTCTGTTTATCTGTCAGTCTGTTCCATAAAGTAATAACTTTCTTTGCAGACATTGATCTGAATGATTTTCTGCTGCTGATGACGACACAGGAGAGTCTTCACAGAAATTCTAATTTCACTGCTCATCCTTCAGTCTAAATGTTCCTCCTCGAGAGTTGACGCTCCAGCTGGTTGACGTCGCAGCTCGTCTTCCTTTCTTCCTTTCTGCTTTGAGTCGCGACCAAACATTTGTAGTCATAGAACTGGGAATTCCATAATCAAAAATGAAAAATCCACGACTGGAAAGTTTTTCCACTTCCGAACTAATGTGGAACATTTGCT